TTAATGTTCGTAGAAAATTGAAATTTGGCAAGATATCTAGGAAAGACCTAATGTGTACGAAAATGTAAAGAAATGGATATCGAGAATTTCATCATAGTGACACTTTAAATCAGAGCTCATTTCTCATCTTTTCAAAAAGATTTTGTGAGGGGTTTCTTTCCAGTGCTGTAGATGGCATAAATTACGATGATGTATCACGATTAAAGGTAGCTCAAGTGAAGATCAAATGGGATAGACATTAAATCAGAGTTCAATTCAGTACAGATATGTCGAGGCTTTCATTCCAGTGCTGTAGATGGCATAAATTAATATAATGTATTACAGTACTTTACCTTACACGGGTGATAAACCCGTAAATCCAGTTTAGACGACACAACAGACCCGTCCCGAGCCCCGCTGTAAATCTGTGGAAACAAAGTGGAATATAATACCTTGAATTTCCTTGTAATGCATGGTACAGGACAGTCGGCGTGATTGAAAAATTCATCCGAGTTGAAAATGATAACGTAAGGTCGCACGAACATGCGAGAGTGAATGTGGTGCCTGATTCGAAAGCCTTACGAATGTCCGTGAATTTCACGTTTTTTTTCAAAAGATTCAAGAATCTCCCTCGAAGGAGCTATGTCACAGTTTGCGTATCTTGAAACGTTTCGCCTAAATTTTTCAAATTCGTCGTTTGTAATTCGTGTTAATCTTCTCCATCCCTAATCATCCTTGATCCGTTATGGTTTATTATTATCCCTTTGATGTTTTTCTTTCTTATTAAACTGCTATTTCCGGGTTTCCTTCAATTGGAAGGTAATTTTGTACGTGGCCAAAATACCATGATTGAGCTCCTTTAGGATGAGCGATCAACTCACAGCTAAATTGTCTGTAAAAACAAAAACAAAAAAGAATACAGTTTCCTACTATACTTACTCTTCCATTGTTCACATGCACTGAGAAAATCATGTCCATGTGTCCACCGTACACTTGAAGGAGTTCTGCTGTCTGTAAAACAAAAATAATCAGTGAATATTAGACAATGACTTTCTCTCTCAAAACATTTTGGCGGGAAACAACTGGAAAGCGCGAGAGAAACTATGATATAAACTCGCTCCAGACCCCTGTCTAGGCACTTAACAAAGAGGACTTGTTTCCAGTGTAATAACATTTGCGTCATGTAAGAGTTAATGTTAAGTCACCTACCACAAGATCATAGCAACGAATAAGTTTGTCTAGGCATGACGTCACAAGCACACTGCCCACAATCTGCAGACCGCTGACACTCATAGTGTGGCCTTCAAAGGATCTTACAAGTTCTCCACTCTACCAATAATGGGAAAAAATTGAAAAAATTGAAATTAAACAAGTCTGATTTTAAAACAGTTTTGAGATAGTAGGTGTATTTTAGTTCCACTAAAAAAAGGTGACGCACTTCAGACGACTTGAATGATCGAAGGTCCAAGTTTGAAATAAAAAAAAAAAACAAAAAGGAAAGAAAAGAACGATTCGGAAGAAACGAACTTCTTCAAACTCTTACGAAATCTTGAGCTGACGCTTGTAATACTTACATTCAAATCATGAGCCTGCACTTTCATATCAGCGGATCCACTGTACAAAATATTTTCCACAACCTGCAAGTATTGATACATTATTGGTCACAGAGCCAACAGTTTCATGAATACCTTCAGAAATCGCGAGGCAAAAACTGCAAAACTAGCCAAAGAATGCAGTTTTCCTGCAGCAGTGGTGCATGTTCGGTAATCGGCGTTAAAAGCCAGCGTGTTGACCTCCGGGGAGCCAATAAAGCCGCCCATGTTTGTTGCATCTGAAGTTTTGCAATCCTAACAGCAAACATATACAATTTAATGCCCAAGCAACATAGACTAAGAGCAGCCCTCCTTTCGTTCAGTTCGTCCAGCCTGACGTGAAAATTGAGAGCGGGAGAAAAATGGCCGTGCAAAATATGGGGGTAAGAAGCGCGAAAAGGAAAGGTGCTCCTCGCCCAAAGATTTCGCGTGGCCACTATTTTTCCTCGTCCTTTTTTTCGCGTCATTTTCGACGGATTAAGCGATAGAGGGGCTGCTCGTAGTCTACTAGAAACATACCTGAAGACATAACACTGTCATGTTGTGATCGCTGATTGTTCGGAGGAGTAGACCAGACTGAAAAGAAAGAAAGAGCAAGTAAATCAAGGAGAATTTTTTCAAAGGTCCTCTACAGTTTACTTAACAATTTCTCCTAGGACAAACAGGATAAGAACCGTTCGTTTCTACAATCAAATAAAAAAAACCAAGTTCTTTTCAAAGGGAAGTTCTGTTTGTCGTTTTCCTTTCTCTCTCTTACCCAGTCTTGATTAATGTTTCGGAAAACACAAACATATAGCAGTCTGGAGCCGAATAGAAGTTTTTCCGCGCTTCTAGTTAAGTCCGTTCAGTTAGCGTTGCATGTTCGCCAAGCTGTCGATTTTCGTTCTTCGCTTGCTGCTCGACTGGTTCCTATAAATTGGCGAGTACCAACGATTTTGTTTCATATTTCCTTTGGAATTTAAAGTGCCTATGAAGTGAAGTTTCTTTTTTGCGTTTTTCTGTAACTTGTTACGTCTACTTTTCGAAATTGCCAAAAGCGGATAATGTTAAATAGAGAAAAATTTGACTTTTTGCTGTTCAAAGTTCGAATTTGACAACCAAAAGTATGTCCATTTTGCGCGCGGCCAAAACGAATGTATTACAATGCCGTGACGTAGGAAATTGTTCAGACGACTTCATCGCTACTTTCCGACTCTTGTACGATGGAACTTTCACTAGAGGACAGATATCCATCATTATCTGACATTTTACTTGCAAAAAAAAATGGCGAACTTTGAAGAAATCTCCTATGGCAATTCATATAGCTACAGAGGCGAAGTGGGGTAAACAAATCGCTGAAATAATTTCCTACGTCATCGCTTGTAAACTCGTTGCCAGTCTCCGGACCTACTGTTTTGCTATACTGAGCTCACTTTGGGCGGCGAAAAGTCGGATTTTTCTCTTTGTAACATTATGCGCCTTAGGCAGATTCGAAAAGTAGACATAACAAGCGACAGAAAAAAGCAAAAACAAATTTCACTTCATAGGCACTTTAACACAAGAACACCGTTCTTAGTTATGGCCTTAGGTGTCCTGCGCGGCGCACGGTGAGGGATGAAACGATTCTTATTTGATTGTAGGATAAAACAATCTACACAGTATAAGTGATTTAACATTATTGGGTAATTAATCGACGGCCAACCCGCTTTTGCTAAGAAAAACGAAAATCTCTTTTGTTGAGTGGCTTATTCCTCGATGGACTGCCATTTGCAACAACTTGGACTGTTCCTACTGCCTTTATTTCTTCTACTGATGCTACTAGCGCAAAGATTTTCAGCTGAATGCCCAAATTGTAGACATGTTTGGGTTTATTGACCGTGGGAACTAAAAATAACTGCCTGGTTAAGATAAGAACCAGACACACCAACGGGACGAATACGAATAAATGAAGATTAGGCAATGAAAACGACCGTAAAGATAATTGTTAAACGATATTTAATCATGACTTCAACTTTCGCGGGGGTTTTCAACCAAGGTTAGTACGTCTACCGAACCATAACTATCGTGAGAGCAACTGTTAATAAGGCAGAGTACCTAGACAAAACAAACAACAAAACTAAGAACAAGGATAGATATGTGTGGGCTGACCTTGACTTTTGCACAGACATTGACAGTCACGCGCGCACGGGATTAATTCGAGACCAAGCAGAGCCAAGACCGTGGGGGGGGGGGGCACTCCCTATAATGGCCGTATAAGTGATACCTCTTCCGTCAAAATGGTATACAAAAGATTAAGGGGTTGGACCTCGGAACGGAGCCTCCCCGTAAAGAGCTTTGTAGAGTGCCTCCCCCCACACCCCTTAACCCCCAGGGAGCCAAGACTCTAAAGGTTACCTTACAATCCCTGATGGCGACTGTCGAGTCGAAAGAACCAGAACACAGAAGCTTTCGTTGTCCCTCGCTGGCTGTGGTCAGGCAACTGACTCCACGAGGCTCGTGGCAGTGAAGGCGCTCGAGGCATTTGTTATTCTAAGAAACAGGCAAAGAACAGATAGAGCCCAGTTATTCCCAACACAACAGCAACCCAAGAACCTGGGCACGAATTTAAAATTTTCCGCGCTTTCGATCGCGTGACTAAGCCAGCGATGCAAGCGCTGGGATAAAATTATTGTTCATTTGGAATTCTTACAGGGAGCACGACTGGGTGAGTACCATACACGAAATTTTTCCCGTATTTAGCTAAGTTACGCTTCTGATTATAACAAAAAGCTGTACTACTGTATTTTGTGAAGTAGTATTAAACGAATCTTAGGAAATAAGGTTCGTTCGTTTTAGAAGGAAACACTATTGTTCTTTGTAATCATTAAAATGGACTACAGTTCCTTTGTTGTAGCACGCGATCCGTCTAATCATTTTTCCTCGGTTATTGTAACTGTAATTTGAATGTCTCTTACGCGTTATTGTACTTTATAAAACTGTTTGGAAGTTCGAATTTGCAAACCCGAGCAGGTAGACTGTCGCACGATTTCAAGGGCGCATTTTTATGCTCTTGCACTGTTCTGTGTTTATCATGTTTAGCGTACAATTCTCCAACTAATAAAGGCCAAAATATTAATCGCAATCATTGCTGTTCTTGTGTTACATATTACTTCTTCACTCATGTTTTTTTGAGTTAGAAATGTACATCTCAAACTCATAATTCATCAAGTTTAAACAAAGGAAATCATGACCGTGTCAGTGCTTGGATATCTGATCTTAATTAGCATAGATTTTTACGACTTTATTTCTCCGTTTTCTCCTTAGTTTTAGTTTCGATTGAGAAGATTAATCAAACACTCAAGGCAGTGTTTGACCACAATTCCAAACACCTCGAAGTTCGTCAAAAATACTCCGCTACGCGTCGTATGTTCACCTCTCTTCTCGGTGTTTCGAAATGTCGTCAAACACGGTCTTGAGTGTTTGACATATTACATACAAGACAGAAAAAAAAAGCCGGATTACGAAAAAGAATCGCGTTTCAGCTGGTTGCTTGTTGGTCCAAAAGGAAAGCGTGACTGACCATAAACACTATGAAGAAAAAATGAACCAATATTCAAAACCACTTAACGAACGTTCTCCTGAAACACCAGCAAAGAGAATTTTCATAATATGAATCCATCAGTGTTAAGCTCGAATTGGGGAATGGGTGCGGGATTGCAGGCTCGGGAGTAGATACAAAGGGTGGTTCATACCAGGAGCAGATACACGCGAGGCATTTAAACCCAAGATGGTAGATTTGATCCATATTTCGAGACCAATTAGCGACTATTACTAAGTTATTCAGAAAAGTTGGTGTCACGGAAGCTTCCGTTTGTTAGCTAAGACATGGGCCAGCAACAAAGAAGGCTAATTAGACTGGAGAAGGTTTATATCTACATTTTACGTTATTCCAACTAACGTTTGAGAGAAAATCATTCAACAATTTCATTCGCCATTCTTAATGAATAATTACTTTTAAGAGACTACTACTTCATTCAGGTAACTGATCCACGCGAATCGTTAAGTATGCACTCAACTTCATGTCCAATCTTGTTACAATATCATCATTGCTGTAAAGCTGATATTACAGGTGGATAGTTTGCATATATTGCCTTTTGCGACCTTCTCGAAAGATGACAGATTTTACCATGGTACCATTGTACGGCGATGCTAAATACTAGCAGTGAATATCCAACGAGATATACACTTCTGTTCAAACACACGATAGCCTGCGAACAGGCTCCCGGCGAGGAAGGAAAAAAGAAAATTCCGCGAGCGCGAAACTGAAGAATTCGGAGAACGAAGCGATCGGGGCGGGCTCGCCGGGAGCAAGCTAAAAACACGATATATAGTGGGATTGCAAGATTTTTCATCAACTTCTTGTGTTCGTTAGGAGCAGATATTAAACTACTCAGTTTCAAACTAGACATTGGAAATAAATTTTGTATGCTCTTTCTAGTCAAGGCATGTTTTCAAATCACGTAAATTTCTGAATTTGACACCTGGTCAACATTAAATGTTGGCAAACATCGCCCTGTTTTAATGTAATTAACCCCTATCATTTTACGACGAAAGGAAGTTCTGCCCTGTACCTGACCAATATTTTGAAAACAGATCACTTTTCAACGATCCAGTAACTTCGTTACAGGAATGTTCGCGATAATTTTTTTTCCTTTCCTCGCGATTCTTTTTTCATCACGAAAATTCGACGAAATGAAACGTGAAAGAAAACGTCAACATATGTCAATTAAAACTCAGTTTCATGTTTCAGTTTCCGACCACGAGTTCAGTATCCTGTTTCGTTTTCTGTTGTTTTTCTGTACAGTACATAGTTTTACAGACAAATTTTGTTTTATTTTCTGCTAAACTCGCTTTCCTCCCATGCAATCTCTTGATCTGTACGTTCAAATCACGAAAATTAAGCGGCATTGTTTTTATAAGTCAAACAACATAATAAAAATAATTTCTATCCAAGTTTTTTTTGGCGCGACCTCTGGTACAAGTTGTCAGATTGATCTTCAGATTAAATTAAGCCCAGAAGACAGAGACACTACAAATAAATACATACCACCACTACCGGTCTAAGGCTATTTTAATTTTATAATGTTCAATCATCAACAAAATGAGGCGAATCTGGGAAAACGCCGGAAACCGACTAAATTATTGAAGTTCAAGACAACATGTTGGTTGTCTGGAAAGTAAAAGAGTGGTGAGTGGTGAGGGTACGGGTGGAGTTGGGTTGAAGCTAGGGTGAGCAATTTCAATATTGTTTTCCTTAACATAGTGAAGTACTTTCAGCTGGATCAAGAAAAAAGCTGGGGAGGGGAGGGGAGGGCGGTTCTAATAGCAAAGGAGATCGGATGAGGTATACAGTTTTTGGGAGTTATTTCGCCGACTAGGGGCTGACTAGAGGCTACTCGAAAGGTAGCTTTTTTCCCATCAGGGTAAGAGAAAAGGGACGGGAGGCTGAGGAGTGAGATTTGTGAGGGGAGAGGTCGGTTAGTTAAAGGATGAGAAATGGCAGGATTTACTGTAAGACCGGGAATTTTTGAACAAACAAAACTTAGCTTAAATAGGTAGGAATGGCTGCGTAAATCCCAAAGCTAAGCAAAATACTAAACAGCTCATATTTCTAACAGAAAGATTACACACAGGCCGCATATCGCTTGTCGTAGACCGCGAGCAGTCTCTTTTCCTCGAAAACCATGGAAAAGAACGCAAAACAAGTTAGCGTGCGAGCGCCACTGAGTCTACGCTTGTCGAGTCAGGTTACAATGACATTCGCGGAACCGTTTCTGAGCGAAAAAGCAGGTAATAAGCAACAAAGCATGATGTTGTATCAGTTTCGAGATACCGTTTACAGTTTATTTATTTCAATTACAAATTGCAAATTACAATTGAACTACCCGCGTATAGCATAGGCTAATCGAGGCGGGCACTGTGTCAAGTCGTTGGTTCAAAGATTGCTTGGAGGATTTAGAAGCAAAACAAAATACGGCACATTTCTATGGTTGGCGAAATGGTGCAAAATCCACAAAGTTTATATTCATTCACATTTAATGTTGTTATTATTATTCACGAATATATTTATTCACATTCAGCAGCTAAATTTATATTCAAGAGATATACTAATTCACATTTAACGACGTATTTCGTATTCACGAATATATTAACTCACATTTACGGGATGTATTCATTCACATTCAACGGTTTATATTCATTCACATTCACNCGATTTATTTTTCCCGTGCGCACTAACTTCCATCACCCGCGAGAGTAGTCTCAGATCTGTGATCTAAAAAACAAGCAAATCATTTAGCACGACATCATGGCCACGGGAACGTTTCTGTCGAATAAACGATCTTCTCGAGAAACAAATTTTCTCAGGCTGATGTTGAAGTTGATGCCCCCGGCAAAAAAGGAAAAAGAAAACTGTTTAAAAGTAAAAAGTAAAGCTTTACAAACCTCGATACAGTTGACGGCTTGATGATGTCCTTGGTACGCTTTAACGCATTGTCCTGTCTAAAGTAAGAAAAACAAAACACAAAACCATCAAACTACCGATTTTGAGGGTTTTTTTTTTTCTGGCATCTTTCTCCTGATTTACCACACTTTTCAGCCAATCAAAACAGCAACAACCACACATGCAATTTATCATTATCTGAAATAGAAACCTTTTTAAGGATATGAATCTACTCGCCTGAATGTTGAATGACCTTGTGGTTTTATCAGCTGAACATGTAAACAGATGACCATTGTGCACCTGTAAGAGGAATAAACATGCAATTATAGTAACAAATAACGAATCTACCAACCCTAAAGGAATTTCAAATTCGGATTTTTTGTCCGAGTTGATGCTATTTCTACATTTAAAATTACTTTCTTAGTTGCGATATAGTGGGTCTCCAACTTTAGTAGAACACTGCAGGCTGGTCGTTATAGACGTGCATAACGTACAATGCAAATATATATTTTTTTTTGTAAAAAGGTCCCCGTTTCTTCAGATAGTACCATTGCTGCCATATAAATGTCTTTGCCTTGAAACTCTTACAGTCTTCGAGGTAACGAAAACCGAAAGTGACGTTAGATATTTGCGTTTGACCGCGGTAAGCAAGTTTCAAGCCTTAAAAAAAAACAACAAAAAAAACATTCTATTGCACACACCTTTAGACCACACACAGCTCCTGTATGACCACTGAACTTATTCGGCAATGGACCGCGGTGCTGTCTGCCTTCTGAGACAATAACAACAATCGAATCAGTATCGTTAGAAGCGGAATTCTGAAATTCTTTAGTACTAACTCGCTCTTTGTGTGGCGTGTGTTTCATGTGAACTATGTCATCTATTTTTAATGACTGACAGAAGCTCTGAAGTCTGAAAGTCTTAAAGTAGCTTCACAGCCGTCAATAGGAGAATCTTTGCTGATATCATTGTTTACATTTTTCCTCATTAACATACGACTTTGCGCAGAAAAGGTATCACGCTAGACACGAATTAACTACAAACATTAAAAGCGCCTATGAAACTTAGTAACTGCTGAACGTTTTGGCTCTTTGCGTGTAATATTCAAGGAGAAATTGGCTTTCAAAAACTGCAAAATTTCTCGGTGACAAAATCGCTAATGAGCTCGTACATTCTTTGTGAAATTTTCAGCTTTTAAAGCCGCGTCGCACAAGACCGAAGTATTCAATGCATCGGGCTCAAATTCCTTGGGACAGTTAACCGTGCTGTACCCTTTCAATATTCAGAACTAATGTTTTTGTAGCTCCATCAGAAACTGCATCGCTAGTGTTAACGACACAAATATTGTAAACAAAGATTCTCGCATACGTGACAGAGACCTAGCCAACGATGGAAAAGGGAAGTTTTGTGGAACGTAAGAGAGCTGTAAATTACTGTTAGGTTCCTATATCGTGTGATGTGCCAACCTTTTGAATTCTGTATGTTCCTCTTCAGAGACTCCACAGTGGAAGAAGGAATTTGTAGATGGCTCGCTCGACTAGAGGTAGTATTGGATGTGTTTCCAGACGGGCCGTCCTACAAGAAACACAAATGTCTTTGTAGATTAGACAATTAAAAAATCCGCGTAGAATTTTGAAAGCTGGGAGGGACATTGCTTTTTAGGAGTTACAACATTTGACAAAACACTGTTCACGATTAAAAAACCTTGTAACATAGGGTACTTAAAAGTTGTAAATAGTGTCTGTCTTTGAGTTCGAGGTCAAAAATATTTAATAATTTTCTGAAATATCCAGCCGATCGACTTGAAATACCTGCAACTAGGCAAATGAACTGTAAGAGTAAGGCATCTTATAAAAACAGAATAAAATACAATGGTCAGGGATCAAATTCGAATGTATTAAGCTGGAGTTCAACGCGCTAATAATTTCGTCACTAAGACTCCCTCCTGGTCAACACAAAACTCTGTTACGCCTCACACAGTTTAACATGAAGTACTTACCACATCTCGTGTTGGAATCTCGTCTTCTGCACTGCTCCGTTCTTCAGTTCCAGATCCTCCTAGGTCAGTTGTGGTCGTGTGAGCCGCGGCACTAACAACTTGGTCCTTTTCGTTGGCTGATGTTTTCTCCTTGGAAGAGACATTAGACGGTTTATTACACGAAGTATTGTTGATCTTACGTCTTTTAGAAGGAACCACTTCTGCTAGTTTGAACTTCTCTTTGTTTTTCCATTGGGATTTATCAACCCTGTTTCTTCGCGCCTCTTTGGAAGCTTTCTTACCGGAATGGAAAAGACTCGATTTTTTCAACTCTTTTGTTGTCTTTCTATTCGAAGTTTTATCGCGAACTGGAAATTTCACGGGTGAAGGTCCAGATTTTTCCAAAGTATTCTCGAGGCTTTCTGTACTAGATGAACTACCACGTTTTTTCTTTTGATCCTCCTTTGACCCGAGCAAATCTACTCCAAGTTCTTGTTCCCTCCAACGTTTCATGTTTTCTCGTGTTGACTGTATTTTCTTTCTGCTCGCCTCTATGGTCTTGGAAACATTCACATCCGAAAAGCTCTTTTTCCTAAGGGGCACTTTTTCTAGCAAATTCACATTTTTCATTTTCTTCATGAAATCTTTCCTCGTTTCGTTACCTCTGCTTGAATCATTTTGCTTCTGCCCGGTCGGTCCTCCAAATGTCCCTGGAACACTAGCATGACAGCGCTCTGAGACCCCATCAAAAATGCTCGGGTCACTATCTTGATGCGCAGCAAGTTCTCTAGACGTCGTATTTTCGCTGATTGGCGCCCTGGAAGCCTGTACGACATTATTCGTCCCTCGATATAAGTCCACATCGTTGTATGATTCTCTTCTGTGCGATGATCGCTTGGATGCCACGTTAAGCTTTTCTTTCTCACGAGGTTGATAGTTGTGCAAAGGCTGGTCTCTTGAAACAAACTTTGTTGCAGTTCCAACAGAAACACGCGATTCCAACATTGGATTATCACTCGATCTACTCGCACTCAACGGGTCTTCAGTGGAAAAAATACCTCCATGGGACGTTCCATCATCATCAAACTCAATAGCCATTTTATCGTCTTCTGTATCATCGGCGTAATAACCATCATTACTTCCCGCTGCTCGTGAAGTAACGGGATCGTTACGTCCCGTTGCACGTAAAGTAACGTCATCGTTACGTTCCGTTGCATGTGAAGTAACGTTATGCGAATGAGTTGGTGGAGAAGAAGAATTACTGTGAGTATCAACCTTCCTGTGGTCATATTCCAAGAAGTCGCCTTCCACAGGCCCACCTGAAACTGGAGCAGTTGTGTTATCATCAACGGTAGAAGTGCTGGATTCTCTTGTTACAGCCTCAAGCCTAGCCACCTGTTCTTGTCTGTCATAACAAGCGTTTTCGAGAATACTTAACCGCAAATTCCGCAGTTCTCCCATTTTGAGTGTGATTCTTTGTTCCTCGCTGCTCAGCGAGTCCAGCTCGGTACATAATTTCTGAATTTGTGCGCGGACAGATTTTAATCTAGATTGCACCTTGTGCAAATTCTGTAACTGATCTTGTTCGTCGCGCTCAATGGTCAACAACTGTTGTACATTTATTCCAGATCGGTATGTAACAATTGTGTCTCCTGCGCTCGAGTCGTCTTGCTTCAGTCTTTTTACGAGCGTTTCAGTGCCTAAACTTGACGTTTCCGATCCTTCAAAGGAACTTTCTCGCTTGCGTTTAATCACCGAAAAGGCCTCGGGAGTTTCTATGGCTACGTTCCGAGAGCCAAAATCGGTGCTAGTGGTATTCAAATCGATTAAACCTCGACTTTGGAGCACTGAAGGTCTAGCAGGTGATCGTGGGTTGTCAATAGTCGTTCGCGTCCCTTCGGTCGGTCTCCCCTGGATAGACGGGGGCACTGACAATCCTTGAAGGTAAGACGTCGAGCTTAAATCGATAAGGCCGCGACTTTGAAGTTCGTTTGAGTTGTCTTGGACGGGCTTAAACGTGGAAGGTACCCTTGTAGGGGCTACATTATTCGACCTCGCGACCAAGCCCTCGTAAGTACGCTCAGACGCACTCAGACCTGTCTGATTATGTCCTTCGCTTGTCTGCCTCAACGGTCGGCTGAGAAATCGGTTTGTATCATAAATATTTCCTCTTTCTAGAAGAACTGATCGAGGTGTGTCTACACCGTGCAAATTCTCTTTCCTTACCATAGGCGAGTCTAAGCTAACACTCCGCTGTCCTCTACCCCGGAGTCGTGCTGGTAAGGGAGACAGCTTCTTTCCCTGTTCATTCGGAACCTCATTCCTGGTATGGTCTGTGATGAGCGGCTGGGACCTGCGACCTTCAGGAAGTTCAGCTGACTGACCGCTGGTAACACTGGGAACTTTCCTACCACTGTACCGCTCCGCCAGTGCTTTACGCACAGCTGGAGGGAGGTTGAACCTGGAAAGATCAAGAGAGAGGTTGGGTAGGGAGACCGTAGAAGCCGGGGATTGCTCACCTGCCATGGGTGATGTAGACACTCTGCGGCTTTGAGGTGACGATGGCGCATAGTTTCGAGGCGAAGCTGCAATTGATGAATGGGTGGAAAACTCGGAGGGAGATTTGGTTATTTCTCTTGTTGTTTTTTTTGGTGAAGGGACGCTGGTGTGGAAAGGCGTGACCACAGAATGTGGCACGCCCAGAAGCTTGGTACTGAAGTTTAAGTCTATCATTTCTGTTTTTATATTTGGTGTTGGCGACGCACTTGAACTCTCTCGATGAGGACGTGTTGTTAATGAACGCTTCTGAGAACCGTCATCTTTTAAATGCGGTATACCGGAACTAGCTGTAGCAGGTTGGCCGACAAATCTTTCCAAGTTTGCCGAGTGCGCATCTTTAAGGTCGGTATCCAGAGGAGTTCGAGATCTTCCAGGTTGAGAAACTGTTTCGTTCAGATCAATACTTGGGGCATTATCACTCGCTACAGATGAGCCACTCAGATGTCTTGCCCTTGGACGAAAAGGTACCGTTGCACCGAGGTCAATGTTTGGCCCTCTATCCACTGACGAGCCCTGATGATTCCAAGATTTTCCTTGTTGTAGCACATTTTTGCTTGGGTCAAATTTGGGACCACTTGCCTTGTCTGCAGATGACTCATGAAGCGCCAACAGCTCTTCAAGGTTTGGTACAGTACCGCTCAAATCAATACCTTGATCGATCTTGTTACTGCCAAGTGTTGCACCATGAGGCTCTGACGTCCGTCCTAGGTTTGGTACCGTGCTGCTTAACTCAATTCTGGGCTCACTGTTGACATCCTTCGAAGGACCACTCAGGAGCAAGCTCCTTGTGGCACCTCTCACTGTGGTACTGAGATCGATGCTTCTGTGAGGACCCCCGGCAGCTCCCAGTGCTTTGTAGGACACCGTAGAGCTAAGATCGATTTCCTCATTCTCCCTACCATTTTCCGTCTGTCCTTCCAGTTGACGATCGTTTTTGTTGTAAGACAAAAGGCTTTGATCGGTGTTAACACCACTAATGGCGTCCACTCTCCCATCCACCCTAAAACGTTTGGGAGGATCGAAAGGTGGGGTGGTCGGTTTGAAGATTTGTGAAATCCCAGGTCGACCAATCCCCCTGGGGGATTTACTAGACTCGCCTGTGTCAGTCCTTGTCAGCTGGCTTCCTTCCGAGACAAGGCTTTGTTCGTGGCTTTGTTCCTCGCTATTAAACACACGCTGGTGATATGAACAGTACCTGAGGAGAAGAGATGCGATGTCAGGGGTTTCATTAAGGGACAGGCACCGGGCAAATTGACTAGCTGTGAGGAAAGTTTTTCTAATAAAGACATTCAATTCAAAAAGTTTTGCCTGCCCAGAATTCCTTCAATTTAAAGGTTGTTTTGGACGTGGCTAAAATAACTCAAAATTCCGTGACTGAGCTCCTTTAAAACGACTTGCTTCAAAAATTGCAAAACACATTGTCACGTACTTGTTCCATGTCACAGCACCACACTGCACACCATCAATATGAACAAAACTGCACTGCGGCCGAGACAACGACAACTGGGAGACAACTGGAACATGTCTTGGGGAGGAGGACTTGTTTGACCCGCAGGTCAGGCTGTGCCCTGTAGATAATATACTGCTACTGGAAACAGGACGGTTTGTCTGACTCTCTGCTGACACTTGATTTGACTGAAGCAAAAAAGTTGAGGGCTTAGAATATCAACACTTTAAAGCAAATTTCAGTTAAATGAATATGCATCAGAACGAAGAGATAGCAAGAATTACCGAAACAATAACTGAAACAAATATTGTCTCATGCCATACCATACCCCCAACAACAACAACTACAACAACATCTCCCTTCGTCTTACAAAATTGATTAAAACTAATTAAGAGTTATAATTAATAACAAGGGTACTGGCAACCTGAAATAACCAGCGGGTTAAAAATGCCATACATCGTTATGTATAACCAGCAGAAACCCCATTGTAAGCCTCCCTGTCCTCAAACACTGCCTTTCCCACAGATATTAGTCCTTGTCACTTGTAGTAAATCTCATCTCTTAAACGTTGAGCTTAGAGTACAACTGCTGATAATGGGTTCTAACTAATTAAATTCACCACCATTGACCAACACATTCCAGAAGGATTTTTGATTTGTTCTAAACTTCCCTGGGAAACCTAGGGATACCTCCCACAAACCTGCATTATAAGTGAGGGCTGACTGATAAACAGGTTGTTAAAGTTTATCTGAACATACGTAATGGGACATGAGGAACTGATTGAAACATATCTGAACATGAAAATAAAGAGCAATCATGATTTGTTTTTTCCTCTTTTTTTAAGAGGGACACAGCGGGTTATCTCAAGCAGGCCTGGGTAGCAATCACAGATGAAGGTTTAGTTGAAATTGCCTGCTTACTGAGCTACAAAGCCAAATCAAAAGGAGAGTTCTGAGCTTGGGCATGAGTAAGTCAATTTATCAGCTTGAGCAAATTAACTACATGTACCACTTTACCTCCTCATCTTTTGGTTCTTTCTTTATCCCAAGCAAGGCTCTGAGTTCTTCCTCTCTCTTTCCCCATGGTAGTGAACCCACAAACGCACTTGCAGCTGAAGACCTTGTTAAATCATTTTGTTTACTTTCAGCTGAGATGTTGGCAGCCCGGTTATCAGCTGTTTTCTCTTTTCCATTCGTTGCTGACGAGGAACTGGTATCTCTGCTGAACGAGGACGCCGAGGAGGCCTGATCATTTTTTCCCCCTGTTGATGGCAAAGAAACTTCCCCCATTTTCGGCAATGGCATATCCTTACTTTTGTCACTAAGTACTGGCAATGTGTTCACTCCCTCCTGAGAAAGCATGTTTTTAACATCAAGTGACACAACTAGAGTTTCTTTTTCTGGAAATGGTAAAATGAGTTCACCTTCCCTCTTTGATGAGACTGCTGTTAATTTAACTTTATCCTTCAGAGAGCTCAAGGAATCTCTTTGTATGGTTGAATCTTTTCCAGGGTCTTTCTTCTCCATAGCTGTTATCAGAGAACTTCCACCAAGGGTTGGCACTGAATCCCCTGTGGCTAATGAAGAAGAAACCCCTCTGGCTAATGAAGCCACACTCTTTTTAGACAATGATGATGAGTTATCCTTGACTGTCAGAGAGGACTCACCCTGGACTGTTGAAGAGGAATTACTTTTAGCTGTTGATACGAAATCGCCTTTGATGGATGAAGAGATATCTCCCTTGGCTGATGACGAGGAATCCCCTTTATTTGATAACGAGGACACTTCTTTGGTTGATGATGAGGACTCCTCTTTTGCCAATGAAGTGGAATTTTCTTTGGTGGATGAAGGTGGGGTTGATGAAGAAGAATCTCTTTTAGACGTTGATGTGGAATCCCTTTTACTGGGTGAAGCGGAATTCCTTTTCGTCCATGAAGGTGGGGTTCCTTTAGATGGAGAGGGAGGTTCTCCCTTAGTTGGTGAAGAGAAATCCTTTTTAGATGCTGAGGTGGAACCCTTTTTCCCTGGTGGAGAGGGGACTCCTTTGACTGATGAAAGGGAATTTCTTTTAGCAGATGAACGTAGGCTGCTTTTAGATGTTGAAGAGGTATTCTCTTTGGGATCTGCCATGTGTTTGATGCTTGATGCTGTACCTTCACTTAATGAGTTACTGGGCTGCATATGTGATTTATCTCCTGCGCTTTTACTTTTTTCATCAGCAACAACAGATCGATGTGAGGCTGATGCAGATGCAGATTCAGTTCCACTTTTTCCTTTATCTATCACTGCAGTCTCCTGCCGTTTCTTTCTTTCCAGCTCATTGCCCTTTGTACCAGCATCCCCACTGTTAGAGTCATCTTTCTTCTTTTCTTCAGATCGTGTTAGTTTTCGTGGCTTACTCTTCCTACCACTTTTCCCACTTGGACTCTCTGAAGAAGGACCATTTTTTGGCAGTGATTTGTCTTTGGCATCTCTCTTTGTTGTTTCCAGTGATGTTCTTCTTCCTTCGTCCTCCCTGCTAGGAGGAGTACGTCTCTGGCTACTGCTGCCACAACCTTCAGGCCTGCTTCCTCCAGAATATGTTCCAACTACATTTTTCATTTTTTGTTGACCATTATTATTATGGCTTGGATGTGATGAGTTACTGTTACGTCTAGTGATTCTATCTCTAAGATCAGGTTGATGATCATCATATCTTGGCTGAAACCCTGAATCACCTTCAAAAGAATCTCTTTGTCTGGGACCTGGAGCATAGCCAGGTGAAAACTGATCATTAGGGTACAGTCTGGGAGAGTCCCTTGATGAGTAATACCTGTCATCATCTCTGTTTCGATAGTATCTTGGATCATCCATTCCTTCCAATACCGGATTGTACCAAGGACCATCTCTAAATTCTCTACATGTCTCCCTACGTCCACCATCCCACATTAGACCACCGTCACTTGGATAACCTCTTTCATCTCTCCATCTCTCATTTTGCCATGGTTGATTTGGCGGCAGGCCCTTTCTCATTTCAAGCTGCTCTGGGTAGTGATATCCAACTGGAGGCAGATCCTCTAGAAGGCTAGGTATGTTTCTTGATGAAACCCTGCCACGCCTACTCCCCCAGCGATTGTCACCCATAG